ACGCGGGGACGGCTGGTCCTACCCAGCTGCTCATTTCACGGCAGTGCCATCACAAGAGGCCCCTCCTGGCTGCTGCATAAACACCGATATCAAAACCCGGCCGTGCTTCGAAACAGCCTCTCATCCAGATTCAGGCTCTTAATTCAGGCCTACCACGTAGTAAATTTACTCTGGCTTAAATCCCGTGATATCCAGGATTGAGGGGAGGGAGGAAGGGCGAGGAAGGGGACAACCTACAGATAGAAATAGCACAAAAATGAAAATCTGGACTTTCTGAGGCCGACTACCAAGCAAATGTCCATTTACTGCAGCTACTGAAGTACCCCCACCTCCTTTGCTAGCTGTAGTAGTTCTTACTATTCTTTGTAAATTTATATCCTCATAACATTTTCAGCATGTTATTTTTTTCATAAAGAATAGCTGTTTGATCAAGACAGAATTATTTCCACTTTCTCAACCTCAGTGAGGAAGGAAAAAAAGGGAAAATGTTCCAAATAAAAGCAGCCATTTTAAAGCTATTTTCTCTTTTACTGAATACTTATTTTCCCTAATCCTCAGTTTTGTATTCTTAATGTTTCCTTTCATCTGCAGTAATTGCTCTACAGTTCAGCAGTATTAGACTTTCACATCCAGTATATGTTTTCTAAAAAAAGTAATTCATATATATAAAAAATATAACGCGTGCACACACACACCCCCTTCTTTGGCATGCTCTTGATACTGTATCAATGCTTGAACAGAATAATTTTCATATACCTTCTTCTCATAAGAAGCAATATTAATGTGGATAAATTAACTGAGAGAAAGACAGGGTTAGGATAGCTGGGGCAGAACCACTCTGGGTAAAATACTTAGTTTAGGTAGTACACTAAGAACTACAGGCAGAAGTGCACAGTCATTTCAGCTTCATTCCAAGTATAACATGATTTTACAGGGCAGTATGCAGATTGCAGTTACATAATTTCTTTAAGAAAATTTGAAGACGGTAACTTTCAGGTAGAAATTACTTAACATAAATTTACGTATCTGTTACAAAAGTCTTTTATATTGTCAAGAAATAACAAGCATTAACAGGGAAAATATGTTTGATTAGAAGGGGAAATACCATCCAGATAGACATAGTGCAGAGACTTTCACTGGAAGAAAAATTAATGGAGAAATAACATTCTGAGCAAAACTCCAAATCTCCGCGGCTGTCTGGCCCTGTGCTGGACAGGCTGAGCAGCAGGAAGCAGTGCAAAAACAGTCACATAATGGAAAACCACAGAGGTTTGTCAGGGTAATAACAGGGCCACGACAACGCACACAGGCCCAGACTGGACACGGTGACAGGGCCGCTCTGCCAGGCTGCTGCCGCCCACGTTCGAGCACGGTGAAGCTGGAAGGGCGACGCGCTGCGCGGCGCTGCGCCACCCCGTAACACCGCGGGAGCAGGCGCAGGGCAGGAACGCAGAGCGACCACCAGAAAGGTAAAATCACACACCCCTCGGCTTTGAAGGAAGCGCGAGGTGGCACCTTGGACAACTCAAACACTCTGCTTTTCCATCCCACAGCGTTTCTCGGGGAAGTCAGTCCAGTTTGCACAACAAGCGGAGACTTCCCGGTAACAAATCGAACAAGCTGCTCCTCGGCAGGGAGCGGCCTCCCCGGGAGCAGCGGCGCTGCCCGGCACCCGCGCGCCCCGCTCGCCTGCTCCGCTCCCCGCTCTCGCCGCGGCGCTGCGCTCCACGCTCGCTGGTCCCGCCGCATCCCACCTCCCTCCGCTCGCTCAGCTGCGCGCGCACGCAAACAACCGGCCACCTTTAGAGACAGCGCCCGCGTAGAGGAGCCCCGGCTGGAGACGCTCCCACAGAGACAACAGGGTATCCCTAGACTTCCCCTTGCTTCACAACTGAAAATTAACATCCAAGTTCTCAACTTATTAATATTTTATTTACACTATTTACCTCTAGTTAACACTCATCCTGGCCTTGGGTGTCTTGTGTCTCACCCAAGTTACTCCATCGGTTGGGAACCATCCTAGAAGCACTGCCACGGGATGAGCGGATCGAGCCCCCTGCTCCCCGGCTTCTCGTTCACCTCCGCGCTCCCGACGCGGCCGCGGGCAGCGGAGCCGCCGCAGGACGCGCACCGCGCGCGGCAGCGGGAGCCGCGGGGGCAGGAGCCGAGCAGCACACCCACCACCCTCCTTGGTTTAATGCGCTGAATTAAATGCCACAGACAAACCGCAAGAAACCCACAACGTGGATTTTTTTTTTCCATGGTTTCAGGCAGATTGGTCATAGTGATTTATTTATTTATTTTAGCAGAATAAGGTTTCAATTTCAAGAGCAGCAACACAACCATCTTGAAAATACTTCTTCTTGAAAAATGATAACCAAAGCCAATCAAAATAACCATTTTTGATATTTTCTCTGTTTGCGCTCTAAACTTTAACTTTCATTGTGAAGTTGGTCTTGCATTGGTCTTGCATCTGTTGGTGGTCACCTGCTCTTCCTGTCCATCTAAAGTGATCTCCAAATGGGTGAATTTGGTGGAAAGAAATCTTAATCACAAGAAATCTTACCTTTAGCCCTTCAGCCACGCTGGGCATGGCAGCAACAGTTGTTATTACAAAGCCTGACAGAACACTGAAAATTTTGCTAACAAAATATAGATACCCCTCAACCTTTATGTGACTAAAATAAAAGCAGTGAAGCTTCTTACAAAGCTATCAATAGTTCACAGCCTATATTTATTTAAAAAGAGTATTTGTTCCTAGGTTTGATCGAATAAAAACATGAGGTGAAATTCTGAACTGAAGCCAAATGACCAGTGACTGCTACACGCTGCATTAAAAACGTGGTGGCACAACCTGGCAGAAAGGGACACTGGTGGGAATGTGCAAAGGGACTGCAAGGCAAGAAACCACAGTTCTGCAACCATTTTCCATCTTAATTTTAGAGCTTGTGTTGAACTGGTACCTTTAATGCATAAATATAGGCACCCACTTTAAGACTCACCACGTATGAATGTTTATATAATCCTTGATTTACCAGTCCTAATGACTGTCACATATTCTCATGAAAATTTCTAACAAAAAACTAAACAAAATTAAAAAAAGAAAAAACAGAACCCCTCTTTCTTACAGTCTTTAACATTAAGTACACATCCCCATTTTCTTAACTCCGTCTCAAAGCTGCTGCTGAAAAAGTGACAACACAAAGATGTTATAATGCTTCTGTAAGATAATTTAAATCAGACTCTACTCAGTGAAATTAGAATTAGAGGATTATGATTACAGGAATAAGTACCGGTGATTGTTGGAACTGTAGTTGATCCAAGCTACAGCTCTAAATAGCAGTAACCCAATGGAGGGCCGCACTTCCTACACGTACTGCTAGAGTCACTCCACGGCCACCCCGTAAGAGCCGAGGGACCAAGGGAGGACGTGGCCAGTTCTGCGCTCCCTCCTGGGCCCTTCTGCTCCGCTCTGAGGCCCCAGTGCGGCTGCTTCCTACCTGCATCCCAGAGAGCAAACCAGGATCCTGCGCTGCTAACACCACCCCTCTCATCCACACCACGCGGAACACTCCCGAATGCCAGCCCATCCAACCGGGCGAGACGGACCCCTTCTGGGGATCACGGAGGAGGCCGCCCGTGCACGCGGAGGCCGCTCCGTGCCACCGAGGCCGCTCCGCGCCTGTCGAGGCCGCTCGGTGCCTGTCGAGGCCGTCCGCTCCCCGCGGAGGCCGCTCCGCGCCGCCTCGGCCGCCTCTCCTTGGCAAAGCGCAACAGGGCTCACAAGCAGCAGCCCAAACTCCAGCCCATTCCCTGGCTAAGGGCAGTAAGGTGCCCACTTCTGTATTCATCAAATCCACTTACTACAGCAGAACCACTTACCTCCAGCTTGCAAAAACAACAAAAAGCCAAAAACACACATAAACAAACAAACAAACTACACATTTTCCAACTCCAAAAAAAAATGAACCCATCAGCCTTTTGTTCCTTCCAGACTGATGCACCCCATGTGTGCAAACAACGGTGTCAAAGCAGGCCCTTCTGCGGGATAACATAAAAGAGAGAAGCGGCTCCAAGGCCACCTCCGACAGAAGAGGCCGCTTCCTCCCTCCCGCAGAGGCAGCCTGGGACAGAGGAGCATGGCAAAGCAAACACCACAAACTCCTCAGCACTCGAACGGCCAAAAGCAGATGCGAGGCCTGTAACCCAGCAGTAAGCACAACTACATATGAGGATACACGGATGGAAGAAAAACCATAAAGCAAACATTAGCGTTCAAATCAACGAGGGAAAGACACTGAAAATAAAATAGCAAAAATACTTATGTATTTGAGCTAAAAGACAAAAAACAAGCTCTTCAGTAAGTATGAAGCAATCCAAAGGGTCTCTGTTAGTATATGAACCACAGTCACCTCCATGACCCCCGAAATAGGCTTTGGTTTCAAAGAGAAGAGCGGCCTCGAACACGCAGCGTGCGCTGATTGCAAATGCCTGGCAAATATTTCTGCTGGGAGAGATAACCTCGTGTTGAATATTCAACTCTCCCGTTTTATGCCCTGCAGAACTCGGGCATAAGCTCTCAGCTTCTTGAGTCCGAGCTCCAAAATAAGCTACACGGAAACCACTTCACACTCTGCTCGTTTCTCTTCCCAAGGGAATCATAAGCAATACCAAGGAAGGCAAAATTGTCCTCCTCAAAGGAAGGGACCCCCCCAAAGCAGCGCTTTAAGCCAGACTGAGCCGCTGCCCACGAGCAAGGACCCGCATCAGCAGGACGGTCCCCGAGCAGCGACCCGGGCAGGCCGCAACCCGAGCGGCCAGCACCAAGGCCAGACCTTCCCGACGGAAACCAAGTCCCTCCAACCCGAACTCGGCAGCGGCTGCAGGAGCGAAACCCGCAGCC